AACACAAACAAATAAGCCAAAAACATCCTCTATATGTTCAAAGCAAGAAAAGCGTACGAGATACTATTATCAGTGAAGTTCTCTCTTGCCCTCTTACACCAGCACACACACACACACACACGCACACACACACACACACACACACCCAAACACACACACACACACACACACACACACACACACACACACACACACACACACACATACACACACACACGCACACTTACAAGCAGAGCAGCGCGCATGCATCGAGATCAGACAGCTTATTAAGGGGTAACAGCTAATGAAGCCTCGGAATGAAGACCACAGAAGAGAGAACAGAGAGTGCAATCTAGCCTCTCCTGCACAGTCGCTGCTCCCAGAGTCTTCCTACGGCCGGACCCCTCCCTACTATCCCTATCTCCTCCCCGCTGAACTCCCGGTGTCCTCCTCGGGCTTCGCTCCAAGCCCGTCGGCAGCAATCGCATTCTGTATATCATCATCTCTTGGAAGACACGGCACACACACTGCTCAGCTCTGCCCAAGAGGAAGCGGAATGCCAGAGTACAGAGCAAAAGAAACAGGACAGACCTTGTCTTCGTTTTTCAGAGCAAGCTCCGCCCTGTCGCACATGGCAGTGTAGCGAGGCCCTCCAAGATACTGCAACAAGGACTCAAAGCCCCTCATTTCTTCTGTCACATAACGCAGTAACTCTTGGCGCTGCTGAGGGTTCTCCAAAATGACGCGGACCCCTGAACGAAAAGCTCAAAATCTTACAACTTAGTGCGTTGGATGCTCTCGCAAGCTACTACCGCTTGCATGCACGCAGACATCCGCAGCAGCCCTCAAACGCTCTGCGTTCAAGAGACAACGAAGCAGACCTTGGTTACCAGCCATATAAGGGAAGGTGAAGGCCAGGCAAAAAACGTCGCACCAGTGCAGCTAGCCGCGAGGATTACCGGGTCCGCGAGTTCTTCCTTCATGGCCGGAAGCAACAAATCCACGAGGTGGTAGTTGTTGCAGCAAGTACTCATAGCCTGAGACGTAGCATGCCAAGGCCAGCACATGCGCCGGGGTCAGCTGTACGAGCTCCCCTCTCTCCCACGTACTGGTGCCTTTAAAGCTAAAACTAAGAGCACCACAACGAAAAAACAGCAGGCCCTCCTAAGACTTGCTCAGCCAATGTCACGGGCTCCGTGCCCCCTAGAATACCATCCTGCTACTGAAACAACACGCAAGCACAGGATGCATGCTCCGACCCCACGCAGGCCCACGCACCTCCTCGCAGCTGCGAATCATGCCGCTCAATACGCCGATGATGGCCCCTGCGACTTTAGCCTTGTGCAACAAAGCGAGAAGCACCGATGCACAGAGGCATATGTGTTAATATGTGCATGCAGGGAGAGCTTCTGCAGGAGAGCCCTCCTGCAGAACCTCTCACTGGCTGGGGCCATCGGCAAGGCGCGGTGACATATACTTAGCACCGGAAATGTAAGTCCTCTGGACCTTTGATGAAGGAAACGCAGGGGAAAACAGGGAGGGCAAGGGTCACATACCTGAACAATCGGCAGGCGGCTGGTGGCCTCGCGCTCGCCGATAAGATCGCGGAGCTTAGGAATTAAGATGCGAGTGTGAATATTCGCATTCGTTAGATGGAGAGCCACCTTCTTGTTAAACCATGCACAGCGACTGTAGAGAGCGGCCAATGTTACAGACACACACAAACACACAAACAGACACACACGCAGACACACACACACACACACACACACACACACATACACACACAATGAGCAGGTCTGAAGGAGACTCGGGCGGTGCCGCCGCGAGCAAGAGATTGGCGATAGGTTCACATCAAAGATGACTACACGAGACAAAAATCGGGGCCTACCCCATAATAGTGCACAGGTGGCAGAACAAGATGAGGCCCTCGTTGTCTGTGGGAATTCCGTCTTCCACCACACGATGGCACAAAAGCTGCACGTGCACGCACACACCCCAGAGCACCTGCTGCGAGAGTTACAGATCTGTCGCTAGGAACGACCCCTACCTACCTAGGAAAGTACGCGAAGACACACCCTGCACTAGCAAAAACTACATCACAGGCTCCACTTCGTGACGCAGCGCCAACCGCCTGTGAAGAGGCGAGCACGAAATTCTGAAGAGGGAGAGGTCGTGCAGGCACACAAAAGGGGTTCTTAATTCACGCATTCTCAGCAGGAGGGCTTAGACGCCCTAAGACGGTTACTCGAGATAGCCACACGGGTGAAGCCGCTTCAGTGTTCAAGCACTCAGTAAAGGACACAACCGAGCCAAGTGCTTCGACAAATGCTCCTTTCCCTGGCGCACAGCCCCGCCCTGGACCCCTTTGTTGCGACTACAGCTCATGAAAGAAATGCTGTAAACTCGCACCTGAGGTATGCCCTGGCCAGCCGCCTCCGAGCAGTTTTCTTCGGCCAGGCAAACCATCGAGAGTACCTTGCATAGGGACCTGCATGGAGCATGCGAAAGTGTACAGCTGGGTTCAAAAGTATACCTATACGTGATTTCCCGCAGCCAACGCGCCATTCCCCGAACCCCACAAGCTAGCTAGAAAGCCTTCAACATCACTTCTCCGGAAGGAGTTCTCAGAAAGAGACCACACAACGCCGTCTCCCTGTGCGGACACGAGTCGCAGGTGAACCCCTTGTTGCGTCCCTGCAACACCCGTCAGTAATGATCCGGGCCTTTACAGATGCAGTTGGGCAAATACGGAGTTGTGCATGCACAGTCGGGTTCTACAGGCAAGCCCCCAGAGGCCTCTATGCAGCTGTGATTCTGAGTGCGCACTGTGAAGACAGAGCATTGCGCTAAAATCACTCCCCCCATAAAGCAGCTAACGTACGCTGTCGGACCGCATAGCGTCAAAAGGTCTGCAAGAAGCGGGACACAGCTGCTGAGAGCGAGCGCCATGGCGAGGCACTCGGTTCCTGTCACTAGACCAGTCAAGACGTCCATCAACATGCGTTCCTAAGGCCAGCGCAAAAGGCACATGGGCATGCGACACGGATTCGATTATATAGATACGGGGTTCGATTCTCGCAGCTGGTCATGAAATGCATCCCCTAGCAGCTTAAATCGGGATCTACAAGAACCCGTAAAGTTGCTCTGTTGTTGCTGCACCGTTAGCTCAGCAGATTGGGCCAAGATAAAGACCAATACTTCAGTAAGCAATGATCGGTTTTTGTAATACCCCCAAATTTTGCAGGTCAGCAATATTCCTTGTCTGTTGCCGTCCGCGCCACCTAGCGTGGCCAGCCCTCTTTCCCCCGACATGCTTATCAAGACAAACAGGGACGCAGCCAGCTACCGCTATACAACCCTTGGAACTGGCTAGCTGCAGTGGCTAGGCGCAACTAGCTGGTCACATGCCTACCTGCCCAGAGAACTCCAGAAGCGAAGGTACGACAACCTCAGCAATCACTTCTGCCGCTTGCCCCCCGCAATCCCCTTCTGTTTGCGAGGTGAATTCTTGCCGCGCCAACCGCGCAAGCGCCACTGAGACTTCGTGCGCAAGAGAGCCCTCGGTGACGATGCAGAGACTCGCAATGCCGCTGCACGCGGACAAGGGGCGGCAGCACAAGAAAACAGCACATGAAGCGCACACGCAACAGCAGCACGGACAGGAAGGGAGAAAACACGGCAAAGCTGGCACCCACACGACGCCTCTGATAAATGATTGCAGCAGGTAATGCATCCAAGATATCATACAGAAAGCTGCCACGGAAAAGGCAAAGAAGAGACACGGCATTCGAAGCATCCTGTGGAAAAGACTCTTTTAAGCAGAGAATGAGCACACTGGCCACTCCACACCCCACTGCAGCTCCGGAAATATAAACCCCGCCAAGCACGACCCTAACTCCCACATACGACTAAGAAAAAATGAGTGCGGCCTTACCGCAGGATGAGGGGCCGTGCTTCCTCGCTGTGCTCCACTGCAAGCTGCGCACGCTGCACCATCTCCCTAGAGGCGTTTTTCCGGGCCTTCCAAACAGGCAAAAGAGCAAACAATTAGGGGCATAGAGAGACACATAAAACAAGGATCCTGGTAGACCCCCTATCTCTAGAGAGATCCGTGAAAGCACACCACCAACGCTGCAAACAAGCGCGGCTCCACACCAAGTGTTCGATGTTGCTTCTCCATGCCCCCTACCCCCCGCCCCTCCTTCCGCTAACAAGTCCAGGCCGCATGGCACCCTACCTTCTCTGAGGTAGAATAATACTTCCAAAAAACCGTAACGCGGGCCTCCTCCTCCATGCCACGGACCTAACACGCGCGCGACACCCATACTGCCCCACCTTGCGAATCTTACTACCGAAGACGTCACACAGGTGCCACCTATCTCGCCTCTGAGAGGAGAGATAGGTGGCACCTCTGCGACGTCTTCGCCACGGCCCTCCCAGCTGCAGGAGAAGCACCACCCTTTGCCCGCAACACGTTCCCCACCGTAGACAAAGAAACAGCTGTGGCACGGCATACCCTCGTGCAAATATCGTAGAATGTTGCCCCGACCTCAGCAGCTGCACCCGTAGGTACAGTGAGCACCTTCTCGAGAAGCCCTGTTAGGCGGCCAATAGTCGCATCTCCGTCCTCTCCAGCCAACCGTGCCTACCCGTAGAGACACTCTCCGCATCACTACACACCACCATCAAAGTCCACTGGAGCCAGCAAGCCCACAGGCACCTCTGAAGAGCCCCACTACCACTGCCCTACAAACCTCAGGAGTGCAGAGGCCAGGCGCTGCAGAGCAAAGGACTTGAACTAAAGGCTCGCGTTGAACAGTACAGCGGGAGCAATCCGAGAAACCCGTCATTCGCAGACCTTTATTGCGTATTTTGCGAACTGAGGCCTGCTCGCCGCTGCCTCTTGACGCTCCATATAGGTTGCGTCAAAGCTGAAAAAACCGCAGAGGCCACCGGGCACCCTCATCAAGGTGCACACCATTGTCTGCAAATAGAGCTCTTTCAGGAGCACTGCGCTCCAAGCACGTGGAAACAGCCCATGTGCAAAAAGCTCCTAGCCGCCCGTATATGCCCAAGAGCAAAAGAACCCTTTTTGAGAGCTAAAAGGCCCACTGTGCGTCAAACCGCATTGGCAAAACACCACTTGAGAGGACCCCTAGGGTGGACAGAAGGTTTTGCAAGGCTCCAAAAGCCGCAGGGGCCCTACGAAAAGCTCACTCGCCAAGCCTCGCGAGCACAGCATCCCCCGCAGCTTGGAGATCTGCATGCGTGCGAAGATTTATGATGTCCCCGTCGAGCTCCGCGATGTGCTGCCCCGCGGAGATTGCGTTTAAGATAAAGACGGCCGCATACTCTGGAAACCAGGAGGTGCAATCATTTCGCCGAAAGTCCACTTTCTGAGGCGCAGATACAAAGCCACAGAAAGACAGACAGACAAGCCGGAAGGCAGCGAAGGTCACAAGCAGATAAACCCCTCAGGTATCGGAGAAAACGCCCTCCCATGCGCCTAAAAAGTGCGGTGCCTCGGCTCCCTGCAATTTGCAAGCACCGCCACGGGAGCACCATATAGGCTTATACGTAGGCGGCCTTGTATCTCGATATCCACGCTTACTGTGAGCTTGGTGAGGTTTTTAAGATGGTCCAGCTCGCGGATGAAATTCGATGGGAGAGTGCTTATTTGGTTGTTCGACAGGTCCAGAGCCCGCAAGTTCCCAAGCATCACGAAGCTCTGTAAATTTGAATCTGTTTCGCCAAAGGAACAGGCTCACAGCAGCAGCTCAATCGCGTGAAGGCTTGCGTAGCGCCCACAGGCGCAGTGTGCCCACGAAGGAGAGCGCAAGCTAAGCGTTGCATGGTCTGGTTGCCGCAGCATACCCCTAATCTGATTTTGTGACAGGATGAGCTCCTCTACATTCCGAATGCCTTCGAACCAGGGGAGGCGTGTGAGCTGGTTAGATGAGAGATCGAGGGAGATGAGGGTGGGCAGCACAAGGTCGGCCTTGGCGATCAGGTTGTGTGAGGCCTTGAGGGTCTTCAGCCTTTTGAATCCGTTTGCCACAGACACGACAGAATCAATGTCTGTCAGCGCGTTGTTGGAGATGTCAAGTGTCAACAGATTGCTTAGATTTAGCCGAGGATTCAGCAAGCCGCCATCGCGGCTTATGAGAGTCTCCAAACAATAAATGGGGGAAGAAAAGTCTAAAGCCACGTGACGCCGCTCATCCCAACGGGGTCCTAGTGTGTCTTCTAATACTTCTGCCACAAGCGTTTGATGCTGGGCAGTGTCGCCCCCAGTGGCCTCCTGGCCCGAGCGAGCGTGCGCTGTCGACGCCATGGCCTTTTACCCCGATTGGCTCCCCTTCTTCGCCGCTGAAGCCTTCCTCCCCCCTCCCGGATGCCGCAGGCTATATTCCTAACGACTTAGCAATGCAAGGCAATCCTTACATTGGCCAAGGGGCATCCTCCTGCCTTTCCCACGGGGGCCAGCTCTCGCACATCACCCGCGAAGCAAAGGGCCCTGAGGCCAGGCGGTTCCTATTAAAACGAGCGAGCGCAAGAAAACGACCGACTGCGGCGGCTACGTCAGAAGAAAAAAGACTCCGCAAACCCGAGGGGCCAGCGTCAACAAGAACCCCCCAGTCACGAGTGCTTGCCAAGGAAAGGGCCTCCTTCCTTCTCTAATCAGCACCGCGCGGAGAGCACGGCCACGGTGTAGGCTTCAGCTGATATTGGAAGTGATAAAAAAACCCAGAGAAAGCGCGAGGCAGTGACAATGGGCGACCAAGCGCTCGTGCTAAGAAACAATCCACTTGACTCGGCACTCGATACCGGTCTACTGTGGGACGGGGCCTTGCACATTCAGAAACTCGAGGTTCTGATGACCTTCAGGCACTGGTGGATGCTTTGCTTGGAGCGAGCTAGCTAAATAAGAAGAGCGGCGACGTGCTTTGGCAGAGCTGTGTCAAAGCAGATACTGCGGACCAGAAGGTCAGCACAACGGACTGGCAATAAGCCACCAGCAGGCCCACTTCCCTCCAGACAGCAGACAGAGTCAAAACGCAAGAATAAAATTAGAATGGTATTTACAGGAACCCCAAACCACAGACTGTGTCGCTTACCACCGCCTCAATATAATTGACCTGGCCAAGGGGGGCCCTCGCCTCACCTCGTGAGCTAGAACACAGCGACACAAGTCCCTTTCTGCGGTATTCTATCAGTCAACATTCACAACTGCTTTTGGACTATGCAATCATGTTAGCCCAAACTCATTCTGCGGGCAAAAAATCTGGAGTATTACAGAATATTTACTATTCATCAGGCGCGCTGTTGCGTGCGGGTGTGTAGCTCAATGGTAGAGCGGCCGACTGCAGATCGGCAGGTTCATGGTTCAATTCCGTGCGCGCCCTTGGTCATCTGTTACTTTTTGCTCTCTGTTTGGTGGAGGCATGTGTTCTGCCTGGTGTTAACGTATTCATACCCATATTTCTTTCCCTAAAACGAAGCATTAGGGGGAGCCTTGTGGGCGATGCCGCGTGCGGGTGTGTAGTTCAACGGTGCAGCGGCCCGGTGGGGATCATTAGATTTAGGTTCAAGGTATTTCACCTCCACCGCGCTGTGAACTAAAGATTTTTCGAAGGTGTGGAGGTGATCGCGCGTTTGTTCCCAGATGTTTGTGGTGCATTGCAGTCAAACAGCGTATGCGGGTTTCTACTGCGTCGTACAAACCTTCGTATCAACTCCTCCTATGGTGGCTCGCAACGTTTTGCACCCTTTGAATAGATGCTTAGATTTGATTTAATCTATTCGGATCGACTGTCTTGGTACCCAGTACCCTGAATCCATCATTTTGGGAAAGTGCCTGGTGCTGCCTTCGTGTTGAGTGTCTCCAATATGCTAAATGCAATGTCTCGAGGCACAGCCTAAGAGAAGGCACACAGAAACTGACTGGGTATAGTGAAACGCAGCCTACATCCTTCTCGCACTCACTTGGCTTGATCGGCATATCGTGCACCTTGGGCAGCGAGTGACTAATTCAACTACATTCATCACTAGGCTGATTAAAATAAGCTGGAGGAGGTAAGAGTAACTGTAGAGGACTTCCAGAAGGATGGCGCTACTTTCAAAGTGGCCGCCCCATTAAAAGTGTTATCCATGGTTTACATTTGCTCTTGCCGCTGGCATTCGTAGCCTGTTACTGTCAATCCAACGTTCCAAACACAGATTCTGGACCTCTCAGAACTGTGCCACATGTCTACAGCCATGTTGTCCATATGCTCTACATTAATACTTTGATATCAAGCAATAGCACCTTTCTACAAATTTTGAAACGCAAGGGCCCGCTTTGTTGCTCGTGCAAACCCAGGAGCATTTCGCTCGTTAGCTAGGTCTAGAACAGTGAGTCTTTGCGAGTTTAGCTTGATCCTGAATAAAAGTCCAGCTCTTCATTGTAGATGGAATTCGCCCATAATTCATAAATAGGTTACACGATTTGGCCGTGTAACTAGCACATGGAAACTAAAGTTTATTTGCTTTTCCCTGCGTGGGTGTGTAGCTCAATGGTAGAGCGGCCGACTGCAGATCGGCAGGTTCATGGTTCAATTCCGTGCGCGCCCTTGCTTCCCCTCGGCAGTCTGTTGTCTCCTTATACAGTAACCCACGGTTAGCATTGCGGCATCCCCTCCTGCTCATTGTCTCCACACTTGTGCAAAAAAGGTGTCTCCTATGGATTCTTTTAACAGTACACAAAGCCAGAAGCAATACTCAGCGACGACAAAGCCCTCAAGCGATTATCAGCTGGATTTTATTTTTAGCAGTTCACTGCTTTATTCAATAGGGGATGTTTAGGAGAAGCCACCCTTCTTAGAGGCTGTCTTCGCATAGTGGGGTTCCACTCACCTGCCTAAGCCTCGTTTGTAAAACTCCTCCTAAGGTCGCCGAAGGCAGACACTTAAAGTCAAACTCACTACCAACCTTTTTAAAAATATCTGGATGATTGTCAAAATATATCCCGCATTCCCTTGCCCGTAACCCTTGCAGTTCCCTACAGGACGGGAGACGGGCAGCTAGCATGGGTGTAGCTGCACACTTAACGCAATCCGAGCATTCACTACTGCGTCTAGTAAACCCACAACCAACGTTGTGTCGTGTTCTGTCAAGCCGACAGTACCCTGCAATGAATAAGATAAACGGACACATAAAGCAAAGAAGCACTTCCCTGTTACTTCTTAGTTTAGCATCACTACTGTATTAGAGAGTGTTCTAGTGTGGCTTAGTCTCCTATTCCTTCCTCGCTACATTTCAAAAGCTACGTCCAAGTTTTCCATAATTGTATGCCTGGCCAAGCCGCATGCAGGACAGCGGAAGAGCTCCGTGGCTATGTCCACTCACCAAGCAGGCAGAGACGAGAAAGCAGCGCACGTGAGAGAAGCAATGTGTCTATCAACCTCCCAAGATAAATCGTAGGGTATGCTGGGGGAAAGCACGGTTGTTGTGGTCGGTCTGTCCAACTGTCTCAGGGCGGTTCGCGGGGGGCATACTATGATCCATGTCTACGAGGTTCATCAAGCCACGCCGAAATGCATGGGTTAACTTTGACCCCTATCCGGGATGATATTCCTAAAAATTCGTCAGGTGCTCACGGAATCTTTTTGGATATCTGCCTACTCCTGTTGCTGATCTGCCTAGAACAAAATCACATTTCCATTAGTAAAAACCAGTTGCAGAGCCATTTTGACGGAAGACATGCTTGGAAATATCTTCTCTTATAGTGCGCTCCTCCGCCTCTTTCATGGAGAGTTTGCCTAAGCTTGTTGAGGCACCCAATACATCTAATCGATCTCAGAAGCATAAAGCGGGTGTTGAGTAGATCAAGAGGTGCTTTCCCTAGCGCTTCCTGGTAGCTCAACCTCCACAGCACCCTCTCCCCTAATGTTGGTAACTCTAACGACTGCGTACAGGGGAAGGCGGAAGCTCATTCAAGAAGCATTCGCTAACGTTTTATTTAGTTCGTCTGCAGTTTGAAGTTTGGAGCCTCCCTACAGATACCTTGAATGAGGATTACACTTGGTGCTTCCGCATGAATCGATGCACCTTTTCCCCGCTCATCCACTGGCTGTGGATACACTCGGATATCACTATCCCCACAACAGTTGTGTGGTTGCCAGTACGTCATTTGGTAATTCAATAGCCTGATTTTCTTTGACAGACACTCTTCGAGGGAAACCCCTCTGGCGATGGAAGTGAACAGTCCCCGAACGCCTGTAGGGACGGCATAGTCCGGCCTGCAAGCCACTGTGGACGCAGTAGGTGTACGTCATGCAGAAGGCAATAACTCGTCGAACATAAAGTATAATGGGTGCATTGATGGGGCCATGGCGACCAGAAAGTAAGTTGGCCGTCAAGGTGGAAAACGCTCGAAAATTTCATCGGCCAGTCTGAATGTACCTTGCTTTGTACCTCCCGAGGAAGAGAAAAAGTGATCTTTGAGGCATATCTAATATAAGGGAAGGCACTTAAATGTTGAGTTCACTTATGTAGAGTGAAGCGCCTGCCTGCACAAATTACTGCATTTCAAGCCTTCATAAAGCCTAGACCCACCGGTTTTTGCCTTCAGTTAAAAGCAAGCCTTGGAAGAAGTTAACATCGTCTAAATTGCTGAAGATCGGGATTCTAGCAGTGAGTTGGTGTGGCAAATATATGCAACTGTGGGTCACTACACAATCCACAACATGGACGAGCTGTTGCTTATTCAGTGATTCATTCACGGTCTGCCCAAAATGTCATGTCAGGTAATCTCAGGCTGGGCCGCAAGTCAGCGTTTAAGCGCTATTCAATGGGAATTATGCAAACGACTGAGTACTTGATGTCTCAGCAGCAAAAGAGCGTAACTCCTGCATCTTTGGCTGAGAAGAAAGAGCTTATGAAAGATTCAGAATCTAAGAGTATCAAGGCTGTGTCAACCGGCTTTAGCGTGCAGTCCAAGGTGAATGAAAGCGAATGTCAGAGGGGTTCAACCCTCCTAAGCAGCCTTAGAGAGCCCTACCAAACAGCGCGCGTGCTGCTATCGTATTGTGGGAACTTGGTTCATATAATGCGAAACTGCAAGCACATGCAGGCTATTAAAAAAACTGGCGCATTGGGCTGGACCCCAGCGGAAACAGGCTGTATGCAGAGCGAGTAAAACGTAACAGGGGAATTGAAAACCCCAACGAAGGATCCGGTGTAGTGAGACGGTTCCAGAGGATACATCTGGTTTAGCGACCCAATAAGATCAAATTTTGCAATGCTGCAAGCCCAAGTTTATGTGTAAAAATTTGTTGGCTTTGCTCGGCGCTGAATGTGAAGTGGATCTGTTGTGCGAGGGGACTGTGCAGATGCACTCTGTGACTGTTCACTCGTAGGCCCAGTTCCTAAGGCTTACTAAATTTGCCGGAAGGCGCCAGAGCGCACGCATTGGAAGGGCTGCACCAGTTGACAGCTACTTGAACTCGGAATTAGGTCCTATTACAATCTGTGACTTCTATGCTGGACCCGTGCACCATTGCGTATCCGTAACCATGCCATGGGTGTCTCAATGAAAAGCCCGCATGTGGGCACAGATGCGTGCTGTGAAAGTTAGTGTGCCAGGAAGCACTGAGGAAAGTAACTTATGGACTTCTCAGCACCATTCTTCCGAGGTCTGGTTGATAAGGAAGATTCGGTACCTCAAAGAGGTTAGGCAAAACCTTCATGCGAGTGGCTCAGGAGCACAGTGTAAAAGCAAACTGTTACAAGCATGCTTCTCGTTGAAGTGCCTTTGAAACTGCGTTTATATTAGGGATGAAAGGCTCAGGAACACAGTGCAGGAGACAGTATAAATCATGCTTCCTGTCTAAGTGGCTTGGCAACTAGTTATGAGTAAGGGAGCTGTAATTAAAATCTGGGCAGATAAACGACAAGTATAGATAGATATTTTGAACGAGGTAGTAGCTGTGCTACAGAATGGCAGGCTGCCAGCGCGCTCGCCACCTGATTTTCGTCCAGCGCGCCGTATTGAGCTAACCTCTAAGTCAACTTGATTTTCAATTCCACGGTATCAGAAACACCCACAACGTGTGGAGAGTAAACGAGGAACGGAGGATCTGCTGGAGAATGCAAAGTGCAGGAATTAACAGGCGTTTTGGGACATAACCCGGTGTTGGTACCAAAAACGTGCCGACGGTGATGCATGTGCGTAAGCTTTTACCCCCTTAACAACATTGCTGTGAATCACAAGTTCCGACCCCTCCTATTGGTGATTTACTTGACAGCATACGCGGTTAATTTAATCCCTGTGTTCTCAGTAGTTAAAATCGTTCGATTCTTTTCAAATTGGCCTTTTCCAGAGCCGTTTGGTGTGAAACACTGCCACGCTAAGGATGGCAAGCTGAGGTTCAAAACAAAACGGGGACTTGGTTGCTTTTACATCCTGACGTTGCTCAGCAGTGCCGTTTCGTACATAGCAGATGAGTGTTTTTCCGTTCCATTATGGAACTCACACCGCAGCAAAATGTTTTCCCTCCGTGTGGTGTGAGATGCGTTCCGCGTCAGCTTATGCATTCTCGTGCCCGGAGTTTTAGTAGCTGAAGCCGCGGAGTGGTTGTGAAACCGATCTGTTGCAACGCCGTGCAGCTGCACAAATTATTGGGATCTATCTGACTGTGGGCTCTACTGTTGAACTGCAGGAGGACAGGATTGCATTTACGCTTTTGCCGACAGGTATAGCAGATATGCCCACTTGATCCGTAGCTCCCGATCAGTCACGCTTCACGAAGCTGCATAGAAATGTGCGACTTTTTGTCTGGAAGCCCGATGGATCTCCCCGAAATAGCATTACGGAAAGGGATCTCAAGCTAGTTCATACGTTCTCGAGTGCCTGAATATCCTGCCTTCATTAAGATCATAATATACCCACTGCGAAGCACCCTGAGGCGGAAAACGATCACCATAACGGCGCTCGTCTGCAGTATGTGCGACTGTGTGCACACAAAAAATATACTTGCTTGGCATGATTTTCTCTCTTGTGCTAAGAGGTCGTGTGATACAAGGGAGCACGCTTCTACCCGTTGCTGTCCCGCATCTGTGATCTACTGTGGGGAGACCCTTGCCCGTCTGGACGTGGAGCTGGTGCTTTGAGGTGAGTCACTCTCAGCAGCGGACGGCTTTTGAGGACAGCTAGCTCGTGCAAGCAAACGTATGTCCAAAACAAGCAGGTACTTAGGATAGGCGGAAGTATGCTGTGTTTCCTGTGCCTAGAAATTCGGTCCTCATGAATCGACATAATTTACATAATGCACAAGTTGATGGCCAAACGATGAAGCTTGTGGCCAAGTGGCTAGAATCCGTTGCCGTCTGCTCAAAAACGAACCTGTGCACCTTCTTGTTCTAGCAGTTTTCCGAAAGGTTAGGGGTGCAACAAAACTATTATTATTGGCTTCCTCAAACGGTTTTCAAGCTTCTTGAATTGTTAATGGGCTTTACCGCGCAGGTATGTGACACGTATGGCGCAAGAATCGATACAAGTGCTGGATTCTAGGACTTGTGAGCACCAGGAAGACAGTATAAGGGAGTTTTCAAAGAACTTAGGTAGCAGAAGTCAACAAGAGTGGTTAATAGAGGAGCGTTTGTGATTCCTGGCGCCTGCAGAAGAATTCGCAGTTCTGGCTGGTTAACTGCGCTGGTGGCCAGGGAAGGTATTTTTGCGTTCCTTCGGTCTTCTCCTGACCGAGCGCAGGCTCTGCCTGCAATAACTACTGTATTTTATGAATACTGCTTAAACACTTTCTCGTTACTATTAGGATCTTCTCTAAACCCAGACTTTATTCACTGGTGTTCTCGGCCATCTTACGTATGAGTTTTTCTTTATGCCTCTTCGAAGTTTTGAGAGTCTCTTGACCGGGATTTTGCGCCCAGTCACTCTCAGTTATTTTACAGGCAAATTATTCTTTAGCCTTTTAGGTTTTAAGTCGAGTATGCTATAGGAATGCGGCTGTACTTGCAAGCACATGCCGCTATATGGTGCGCGGTGGCATTGCTGCGCTGAAGGACATTTGGACCGCCCGCACACATTTTGATTGATATATTTTCGTTTCATCATCGCAATAAGGTTGCACTGTGCAGCGATTGAAGGACAGTGAGCCTTTGCGCCGCCGCTGCGTGTTGGTTTGTTCCGTCATGCTTTGCTGGCTGTTGTGTGTGGCTTTACACTCTCCTGTTCTCTCCCAAGATTAACAGACACATTGCTTCTCTTATTTGCAATATGGTCAGCCTCTCTGCCTGTCTGGTTAGTGGAGAGAGGCCGGAAACATTTCTGCTGTCTTTCATGCAGTTGAGCCCGGCGTAGAGGCATGAAACACTACGGCGGTAGTCTCAAAATAGAATGGGGAAGGCCTAGGGGGCCAAGCCACGACTGAACTCTCTCTAATAGACAAGTTATATTAAATTAAGGATAAGTAGGGACGTGACCGATTGCCTGTCCAATTTGCACATCTTTATTGAAAGGCACTATAAGTTCGATTCAACATGACGTAATGAATGTAAGCTTGGGCACTACATGCTATGCAACTCGCCAAGAAGGCTCGGAATGCGTAGAGGCTGCGACAACACACACCCGAGAGCCGTAAGAAGGGAAGGCCACAGCATTTTGGATGCACTCAACAACTTTCTCTTAAGCTTGTATTGACTATAAGTTAGGGGTCTCCCTCCCCAGTTATTACGTTGAGCGTTCCAAATTCCCTAGGTAGAAAAAACAGGCAAACATTAATGCTTAAGCAAAGAAAATTAATGATATCGTAAAAGTGGACATAATGAAACAACCCCAACCTTAGAAGAGTCGGGAGGTATGCAGCTGAATTCTGAATCATATTCTACAAATCGGTGTCAGCACTGATGCCATTATGCTATCGCGTGCAGTACTAATGTACCTGCGGGTAGGTCTGCGCCAGTCGGCTGCACATAAGCCGCAGAGGCAGAAAGTTGAACGCTGCGGATATTCGCAGCCATTGCTCTGAGGTGAAGCTAAGGGCAGCTGCTCCTCTGCAGAGAAGACAAGCCTGGGAATACGGATACAAATCAACAGATATCCGTACGTAAGTATATCAATACTTAGGTATGTATATATCTGTAGACATTAACTTAGAGAGAGTGAGATGCATATGCACAAGGCTATGGCCGCATGTCAAACTGCAGTACAATTAAACCACACCGCTATAACCGCACAGGCGAGGCTCACAAACGGCCCCAACTCACGCAAGAGGCTGCTGCAAGGCTAACGCTGCAGGAGAAGAGAGACTGGCATCACCTCAAACAGTGTGTCGGGAAATGAAGTCAACAAAGCGCTCTGCGACAGAAGAAAAAAACACGCAACCGCTCCCATTGCGCACGCTAATCTGGTTCCCCTACTAAAAGTAGTTTAGCCAGGGTCACACATACGCAGCAGAGCAATGCAAGAGAACTCACGGGCATATTGAGTTGGGTTCACACAAGAAACCCCCGATGCGTTTCCTGTCCTGCACCGATAGCAATTCCACACCGAAGGAGAAAACCACGAGGCCCCTGTTCGACTGGACACTCCACTATTCCGTAACATCGAAAAAATTCACAGCAGGCGCTTTAAAGTCTGAACCGCGTGGTCAAAGGGTCCTTTCAAACAGCGAGTACCCGATAGACGAGCGGTGTTCGAGCGCAAAGAGGTAGGAAAACTCACTGAAGGACGCGAGCAATATGCTCCACCTTCTTCCTGGAATTCCAGTGCGTCAAAATATCGATAATCCCCATGTAATACAACCGCGTTCGATCGGTGCTCTGCAAGCCCCCGAGATCTCTACACCAGAAAGGCCGTTCGAACTCCGTGCCTGTAAACAAGAACGCGGAGAGCACAGCGGGCTTTGGATGATGCTAGAAAGCGGAGACATTGCACATAGAAGAAGAATAAAGGGCTTTGCAGGTGCTATAGACAACCACATTCATATATACAATGAATAAAAACAATATTACCAGACGAACGATTATGCTCTATAATGCATAAAATATAATGATCGGACACCTCAGCTCGTCCTCGAGAAGTTTTGGATGATGGTGGCCTGTAGAAAATGATATGAGATGTTCATGACAGAATCCATTTGGGTTTCAGCTACGTATATTCACATCGTATCATTCATTGTGTAATATAGCCTGTGGTAGACTTACCACTAACAGAAACGGAAGCACCGGAGGTGTCCATCCTGAAGAAAGCGGGAAGCAAGAAAACAGTAGAGATTAGAAAAATAAAAGTTAGAGATGGCGAGAAATAACGTTCCACTCAGTTTCACTGCAGAAGGTTCCCAGCACAGAGACTGCAACAGGAAAGCAACCGGATAAGATGCCAATATATGCAATCGCCAGTGTTATGACCACGGGAAAACGCTGCAGTATGAGAGGTGCTTTCGCATTTAAAGGATGGCAGAAAAAACGTGGTTACGCTCTTGAAAGAAGGAAAGACCGACATGAATTGACAAAAACGGGCCTCTTCGTCGATTTGCAAAGTGCCGTTCTGACAAAAGGTGAAATCTGAAAGTCAACAATCCCATCGCAGCATAAGCTACAACGTTACAACAGCCACACCCCGCAAACGTTACTATGTTCACAGGTACGGACATCCTAATCCCCCTTTTCATACCCCTTGCCCCCTTTCTATGAACATGCATCTATCCTGTCTCCTTAGTGCTTTATCTCACCTTGCGTCCGGTGAGCGTAGGAGATTCCTAAAAGTAAGGAGTAATCCATAATCCCGTGGTCCCTGAGGAAGGTGGCGTCAATCGTTAGTTGATCAATGAAAAGTTGTTTGCGCTCTGGACCTATTTCAATCTGTACACAACAAACGGACGCATAATAAAAAACAGAAGGACAGGTGAAAATGGCGTAAAATACACATACGCTTTAACAAACAACCATTGAGCAATGAGGACAAAGAACTGCCACTCATGCGGTTTGGAATACGAGCACTGGCCGCATGGGCTGTTTACCTCTGTAAACTGCAGCTATGTATGCTTCCATTTGCGCGCAATGCGTTTATTCAATGCAGACACTTTCTGTACCGTAGCTACTGTGCATGTAACAAGGAGCAACTGGTCCCTAATCTTTTTTCTTAAGCTGTGAGACTTGCCAGCTCTCCGTCTCGTATGATGTCATTATCCTTGCGCGCCACCGTAGAGTCACTGTTAAATCGCACACACAACACAGACCGGAGGAGATCTGTGAAGTAAACAAATGCTTGTACACTGAGACATGCAATGAAGCAAAAGTCAAATCAAACGCGAACATAGAGAGAAAAAGGAACTGCGAAAACGGCGAAACAAATTGAATGCAAATGGCATATTCCGAATCAGTGCCTGTTAGGTGAGCTGCGCTAGAAAGAAGGACCTTCTGAGGTACAAAAGGCAACATACGCCTGCACGGAGGAAGAGATACGCCTTGTGCCAACAAAACTGCAATTGGTGACCTTTTCTATATCGCCACAGTACGCAATATGCTTGCACGTGAGGCACGTACACATGCTTACAATACGAAGCAAAAAACGCCGATGCAAATAGAGACATGAGGGCGAACGGAAAGACGAGTAAGAAAACAACCCCCTTACCCAAGAAGCTCAGGTGGCAGAGAGCGCCCTTGCGTTGACCCCTTGAGATCGTAACGGCGGTGTATCTCCACGGGGGTGTGAAAGAAATTCTCCATAACCATGAAATATGTCTTGCGCCTCCAAGGCTCTGCGCAATTTGCAGCACGGACGCATACAAGCATACATCTGCACGGGAACCTAAAGCACGAGCTGTACAAAAGTGTGCAAATATAATTCTCCAGGCCTTCAAAAATAGGCGCATGCACCTTATGCGAAACGACACCAAGGCGCAGCCTAGCACCCTGAACGTTGCGATGCACATTCATTGCACCTGTTGTGAGCACAATAGAAAATACACTAGCTCGCAGCAGTCACCCGAAATGTTCCTATGCGTCCACGGGTCTGTCCATACACCTGCAGACCGTTTTTGTACCCTTGCAACCTCCTCCTTTGTGGCTGGCTGTGATAGTCAAGCTGATTTACCCTTGAGTCCAAATATTTGCCCAGATTTGTCTTTGAGCCGAAGTGCGTGGAGGCCGCAGAAACGGGTAAGCAGAGTGTTCGAGCATGTGGAGACGTGCTTATAGTAATCGAACAAAATGGAGCGCATAAAAATTGCCGTCTCTTTTGAAACCTTAAAAAAGAAGCGCAAACAGAAAGAAGGACGTTCGGGGCAAAGAAGCTCGCACGTTCCTTGCTTGCATTTCTTCATTGGGTGTAGCACCAAAAAAAGACATCACTGGTTTATTCTAATCGACTGAAGTGCTTAATCATGACATATCTCTGTGCAGCGCATTCGTTTATCCATGAAGCCCGCTACAGCCACATGTATAATCACGTGATCACCCTCGCCACACACGTCACGGGGAACAACGGAGGCGGCAGCCAGCAGGGGGACAGAGGGAAAAGGAACCAGTAAAACAGTATGCTTCAAACAAGAGGCATGCTCACCGTCTTAATCATAAACCTTCCATCGGTCGTATAGTAAAAGAGGGAACCGCTCTTGCCTTCAGAAACTAGTTCGGAAAGAGACGCTAAATTTCCTGGGATGCACAAACACAAAAGGCAAAACTGAGGGGCGCGCTAACGCAGACACATACGAGGGTCCCCTGAGTATCTCTCGTGTCATCTTGTTGCGTGAACTCGAGCAAATATCTGCTGCTCTTTTTTGCCTCTGGGCTGCGCCTCCTCTTGTCTCTCTCTCTCTCTCTCTCATGCATTCGTGCCTGTTTATCAGGTACCAAGGAACCACGTGTGTTCGTTCTTTGCAAGCTGCAACCTTCTCGCTACAAACACAGCTGATGGCTACGCCACCATGGAAAATATCAGACATGCCCCCGGTGAGAAGCGCGCCAGACGCTCGCACACGGACAGCGAAGGTTTCCGCGAAAAGGCTGCACCTAGAAGAGCATGCTTGCTGCCTTACCGAGGATAAGGTTACCCAGAAGCTGCTCCGGACCAACGGATCGAATATAAAGTAAAGAGTCGATGCCAAATATTGCGCGTAGGCGGCGGAAGACCATTGGCGCATAATCGATGAAGCGAACTGCACACTGCAGCAGCACGCAGAATTCCATACAGAAGCACAGAAAGGCAGAGTAAGACGGCTGCTGCCCTTCTTCGTGATCGTCCTCTCGTCTCTCTCTCGCCACCTTAGTGCATCCTCCCCGTGTGTTTCTTGTACTCTTCTTCGACTGGAATGGATGTGCAAGGTCCCCCCTGCCCCCAAGAAAATCCCTTCATTTTTGCCACACATGCGACTCTCTAGGGGGTGACCCCTGTATGAGCTGCATGCGCGCCTAGCGCCTGATTGAGTACCTCCTTGGCTTCTGCAGCTCGCTCGCTTACCAGGGCAGCTTTCCGCTTTTGCTTGTCCACCATTCCAGTCTTTGGTAGCACAGAGAACTTCTCTTTCATAAGGAAATCGTAAGGTTCAACTGCTCTGTGAGGCTCGCTCATCGCACGGCCCCCCGCCAAGCGGATGCCAACCATGATGTTTATCACCATATTCCAAGACTGATGCCCAAAGTGAACGACAAAGCCCTTGGCCTCCTTTCCCGCAGACCTCGATCAAAAACAAACACCACACAAGAGCCTTCAAACCCTAAGGACCTCGGCGAACCTCGAATCCCAAAAGCGCCGCATTCAAAATCAAACTGCATGCAAATATTGTTTCCCTGCTGCTGCATGCAAGTATTGTTTCCCTGCTGCTGCATGCAAAGACTGTTTCCCTGCTGCTGCATGCAAATATTGTTTCCCTGTTGCTGCATGCAAATATTGTTTCCCTGCTGCCGCATGCAAAAACTGTTTCCCTGCTGCTGCATGCAAGTATTGTTTCCCTGTTGCTGCATGCAAATATTGTTTCCCTGCTGCCGCATGCAAAAACTGTTTCCCTGCTGCTGCATGCAAGTATTGTTTCCCTGTTGCTGCATGCAAATATTGTTTCCCTGCTGCCGCATGCAAAAACTGTTTCCCCCGCTGCAGCGTCCACGATGGGCTGGGGAGATCCTGCGCGCGCGCCACTCACTGTGTCTGCTGTATTACTGAGTCATCACCCCCATGGATGGTATCTCCCGACGCTCTTCTCCATTGGGTAGCTGCAGGGGACAGACACCAGCAAGCAAGCCCCCTTGAGGTCCTTGCATGCATGCACACAGACAGCCTACACGAAGCAAAGCACCCGCCGCAGAGGCCACGAGGCGGCATCCCCAAAAAGCAAAATGCGCCTCCAAGAGATTTTTCGCAGCAGGCAGACCTCCCAAAGAAGCAGACACGCGCACAAACACAACCCCTATTGGGGAAGTGTGTGCGGTGATTCCGCCCCCCCCTGCTATCCTCCCCCCACGAAAGCCATCCACGAAGAAGGCAGCACCATCAAGGGCGCACGTTACTGCGTGTAAAATGGCTCACTTCGACGTTGATACACCTTTGCACGATTCATATACATCCGTCGCGCCATGGTCGGCGCGCTACCACGATGACTGCACACAGCAGCCCATCATCACACAACTCCCACGGCCTTTTAACGCGAGCGTACAGTACACCACAAAATACCCTTTCCCTTCTGCTTTTCACGACGATGCCCAAAACCTCACAGGCGGGCTACTACAACAAGCCCCAACGACCTAAATCCCAAGGAGACTTGCCTCTCTACATCAGCGGTTGCGATATCAGTCGAACTGCCAATCCTCTGCCAAAGGCACACACACACACACGTACATACATACACACATATACACACATATACACACATATACATATATACACATACATACACACATATACATAAATACGCATACGCAAACACCACGCCACGGCATACGCCTTGAACGCGCATGTGCAAGCTCTAAAGCCCTGGCGGAGTGCCGTAATAAAAGCCCCCCGTCTCTATCCCGCTGCGCTCCTCTGCAGAGGATTGCCAACCAAGAAAAAACTGCCCATACTGCACGCACACGAAACAACCCCACCACTGCAGACAGACACCCAACAACCGAACCCTCTACCGCCAACACCCAGTGTCCAGACACCATAGGATGATGCAGGGGTGTATTGTGTATTCTTACGCCCTGTACGTCTAGGTCGTCCTCATACGAGGCCTTAAACGGCATCAGGGTGGCAGTATGGACGGTTTGCAAAGCCTGAAGGCTCTCTTCTTCTTTTTAAGAAACAAGCAAACACACACACACAGACACACATACATACATATATACGTATACATATACACATTAGCACATGCACACATAAACATATAGAGACATATACACACATGTACACATGAACACATTAACACATAGAGACACATACACACATGTACACATAAACGCATTAACACATAGAGACATATACACACATATACACGTACATACACACAAACAGTAAGTCAGCAGTAACAGCGTGCATGCGCCTGTGCCCGGGAGCCTTTCCAGCCCATCGCTGCAACGCGGCCTCAGCACTTCGGCATTCGGAGCGCTAGAGAAGAGAGCCAGCCCTTCTGCAACAGATATTGGAGAAGAAATTGCTGTTTGCCTGCAATGGCTCATACCTGCTTCTTCTTCACAAGAAGCTCTCTGCTGTCCATCTGCGAAGTAAACTTTGTGCCGCTTTGACCCCTCGGAGAGCATCATTGTCGAGCCGCCAGCGGGGGAGATTTGAGATTCGTCCAGACTCCTCCCCGGAGGCTCCGCGGTTAGCTTAGGAAGAAGCAGCGATCTACGAACAGGATTGTTGGGAAGATCGTTGGTGACTGTGGATGGTTTCTGCCCCCCCTGAAAAGCATCCCCCGAAAGTAGAATGTTATGGGAGCTATCGAGGCTCATGCTGCTTCCTAGGCCGATAAGGAGCTGATCTGCAATGTGAATGAGGGGGTTCGGCACGGCGCAGCTGCTCTCTTCTAGGATGCGGTTAAGCTGCTTCTCAGCCTGCTGCAGCGCAGCAACTGCAGCAGCTGCAGCAGCAGTGGCTGCGCTTGCGACTGGAGGGGGTGATGCGTCTACGCGTTTCGCAGACGAGCAGGAAGGCTCCGCTGTCTGAGACCTCCGGGCCACTTCGTGAGGCGAAAGCGGAGTGGAAACGCTTTCTGAATTCACAAGAAAACAGCAGCGCCAACTCACGGCGCTACCGCAAACTGCACGCTCTAACAAGGCCCCTCCCCAAGCATGCGCAGATCTCGCTGCTGGTGAGACAGACGCATTGAAAGAGCCTAATACAGGCCTAAAACTTCAAAGTTCAACACACGCCATACAGGCTGTAGCCTTCTGCCCAGCAGCATCTCACCGGTAATGGAAGACTGCGCCTTTGTTGCTGGCAGCAACCTCAGCCCCACTAAAAACTGACTGCCTGACGAAGCTGAGGCATCCAATTGAATCATGGAAGACTAATAAACCCGCATGACGCGGCGCAAGCAAGCAGCACACACACACACACATACATACATACATACATACCCGCAGTCACACATGCAGCGCCGCGAGGCACGAAGAAAGCATATGCATATATACATGGATACAAACAGAAACCACACACAAACATGCACCCGAAAGCCGCCTCTACAAAGGCCCTGAGAAGCGCCACTTCCGCTACACGTTCTCCAGTAAACGCCGTTTTCTTGCGGAGAGACTGACCTCTTCCCTCGAGGGAATATCGCGAACGGGACTGCTGCAAAGGCGTCCATAAGGACTCTCCTGGAGTGTATCCAAGAGCGCCTCTGCAGCTGGCGATTTAGGAGACACCGGGAGACTCTTTTTAGGGGCCTCCTGCGCAAGGGCTACCTTGACTGCCTCCACATCCCGCTCAACCTCCCTTAAGCTCTTGGCGAGCTCCTCCAGCTGCTCGCGCTGCTGCTGATGCAGCTTACGCTGCTGCTGCTCTGCACGCGCCTCTGCCTGACGCACTCGCCGCAGCAGTTCAGCTCGGACAGAAGCGCGTAAATCCGCAGAACTCTGGCGGCCTCGCGCAGGGGCCCCCTGTGCGGAGGGTGCAGTTGCGGAGAGCAGCGACGGTCTCCTGTCCGACCTCGCGGCAATGAGGCCATCTAAAACACGCACATACATGTACATACATATGTACATACAAGTACATACAATTTTTTCTTGTCCATACAAGTACATACATGTACATATACATACATACACATACATATACATACACATACATATATATACGTATACATACACACACACGCACACATATACATACAAGTACATACATGTACATGTACATAAAAATATATATACACATACATGTACATACATATGCATGGACATGCACATACATACACATCCATGTAACATACATACATACACAAGAAGCACGCAAGAAAAAGCCAAAATCGTCATGTCAGGCCATGGAGGGCCTGTTCTCGCTGGCTGACATAGTGAAGGCCTCGAAAAAAGGGAAAAGCGTTGTCGGATTGGCGTTTTTCGACGGCGCGGGTAGTAAGTAAGTTGATATTTGTGTGTAGAGATATTTATTATGCACAGAAAAGCTCCCGATGATGTGTCGGCACTAGGCTGTACAGCTGTGAGGTCCTCGTTCGTGCTGCTTCTTCAGCTAGCTCTGCATGCGGCCTACCGGGGTAGAAGGAAGGGGCAGCTCCACCATTTGAGACCACGCCTAGGAGGCATAAAAATCGTGGACTGCAGAGGACAGCGCGTTTGAAGTCGCGTAGCAGCATCCGGCGCGACCCATCCGGCATCTCGGAGGCAAGAGGCAGAAACACAGTTGCAATATCCTCGTCGGGTGCCACTATGCCCTCGCCACCCAGTAAGGCCCGTCTTGAGGCTTGTAGACATCGCACCAGGTCCATGAACTCCTCCAGGCCCAAGCTGTCTGCGTAAATTACCGCCTTGTGGCGCTCGAACCATCGCATATCGCGACTTCCGCGCGCTGGAGAGGAAACCGTTGCTGCCAAAGGCCTCGTCTGCTGCCCCTTTAACGTGCTGCAGGATACGCCGAAGGATCTGGGGAGTATTATTTCTGGCCCCTCCTCGGAAACACTCCGCACATCCTGAGACGAGGATAGCTCAGCGGCAGTGGGGGCAGCAACATCCCCATCTCCGGGGATGGCATCGCCCTCTGTCCCTTCTAGAGACGCTCTGGATCCCGCAGGACGGCTATCCACGTTGCGAGGCGGATCAGCAGGCACCGCGTTTTCCGTGTCTGAAGAAGAAGCAGAATGCGAACGATAGTCCTCCAGGCACTCTCCTGTCCCGGAGTAGCTGCAAAGGCACCCCACACACGCGTCACATACATTGCATCACAGGCGGCGTGTATATTACGTAGGAAACGCGCTGGATGGGCAAGAGTGCATACACACACGTGTACATATGTATGTATGTATTTGTATATAATATATATGTATATGTATGTGTGCCTGTATATATATATATATATATATGCCTCCTTTTCTCTCTCTGTCTGTCGGAGTATCCTCTCTCTCTCTTTCTTTTTCTCTCCCGCCCTTCAAATAGAGGCACACCCCACCCACCCAACAAAGAGGAGCACAAAAGAAAGGCACACGCATACAATGCTTTTTTCAGATTCCACGAGGGAACACGCTTGCAACAAACGCCCCCAAAATCTCCTTCCCCCTTCTCCTCTCTTCCCCTCCAAAAAAGAAGGCAGTGAAAGGCGCCAGGTAGTGGTCGTCGTGGGCCCCAGGAAACCGTGCAGAAGCTTCAGGGATTACGAAACAAAGGCCAAAACAGCCGGAGCAGCGGGAGAAGGGTGGATGGCAGAGACAGAAGGCGGACGTTGGATTGAGGATTTTGAAGGAAAGATCCAACTTCTCATCGTCCTTGCCTCGCATCATGATGCCCAGCGCAGTCGCAAATTCCGTAAAGCTCAACTGACACGCAGGAAAGCCACACTTTCACAGCCAAATGGTCTGTCAGGTTGAAAATAGAGTCCACGCGCTTAAGCGAAATGCGGACGCACAATAAAAATCAGTCTCTATGTGCGTTGTTTAGCGCAGTCGAGGAGGGCACACGAAGAGATACAAGCGTGGAAGCGCTTTCTTTTTGTGTGTGGAGATGAAACGAGGGAGAGGCACATCATCACGCTACCCCTAAGGGAGGCAAGGCGGCTGCCCCCCCCTCCCCCGCTGCAGGAAGCTCCAAAGAACCGATACGCTGCCTGGTAGGGGGGAGAAGGGGGGGGAAAGCAAGTCTAGGAAGCGTTTTAATCTGCTGGGAAGCCTCTGGAATCACTCTCGGAAGCTCCAGATTACAATCGCGTAAAACAAGCGGTGTAAAACAGGCAAGACGGCAGAACGCTGCCCCGAGGCAGCACACACTTACTTCTCCGTCCTTGTTTTGGTCAAAAGCTCTAAACATTCGCTCGGCTATCATTGTGTCGTCGAGCATTCCTAGAACTCCCAATGTATCACAGAAGCGCGAAAAGAGGAGGCGGCCATTAGGCGCATACTTTCGATATCTGAGCACACGGGTCGTCGCATACCGCAGCGACACGGCCGAAATAACGCAGGGGGAGACATCTCCCGAGGCAGGCAAGTGAGTGCAGCTGCATATGCTGCATGCAGAAGCAAGGAAGCCTGAAATAAAGCCCCAAGAAGCCTCTCTCTCAACGGCAGCCAGCGAAGACCCCAAAACAACGGAAAAATAGCGGCAAACGCTCAACCGGAATCGCCATAAGACACGATTTAAGACCCTGCCTCATGCACCCTCGATGACACAACTAATGCTTCTTTACACCACCAGCTCCCCGAGAAGAAAATTTACACGCCACGAAAGTTATCCATTAGGCATAACCTATTTGATAGCGAGACGAGGGCAGTGCCCCCCCAAGCAACCTTCGTGATCTTTCCCTTCAGCCTCTTGCCTACAACCCCCCAACCTTCCCCTCCCTTCCCCGCACACTCAAGTCCTTTCTGTCCCACGAGGAAGCCGCCTGCCTATCTGCATGTCTGTCTGTGCCTGCATGTCTGTCTGTCTGCTTGTCTCTCTCTGCCTGCATGTCTGTATGTCTGCATTCAGTCCAGAATTCTCAGAGGTTGCTTTGCCGCCTTCATCGAGCTACGCTGGCACAGCCAAACAGAGGTGGCCTATACGGAAGCGGTTGCTTGAACTCGCGTCTAGCTGCGACTCTGGCTCCCCTACGTTCATGTGTGAACTCTCCCCGCGAAATTGCGTCTAATTGGAATGCACACGCGGCTGCTCCCGACTTGCGTGTTGCCTGCAAGGAATCTTCAACTGCTTACCGATCATACAGCCCCTGTATTTCCTTGGACGTGAGAAGCGTGGTTCGCTCGATCTCCTGCTGCATCTCTAGCGGCACTCGGGCAGGGAGGCGCTCCGCCTCGGCGGGGGCGCCCTTACACCAAGCCCCTATTCGAGCCATCTCGGCTTTTCTATGCTTTATGAGGCAGAAGAGAGCGCCACGAGATGCCCCCAGAGAGCACTTTGCGGGCAAGGAAGAGGTGAGTTCTAAATAAACCAGATGTCGGATGCACAGGGCAGAGAGTTCGAAGGCCGCGGCAGCGCTCAGGCCCCTCACGCACCAGCAGACCGTCTGATACCCCGAGCTGGCGCATCCTCAGCAAGGCAGCACTGAAAGTGCTTAGGGACTTGCCAAGGAGCGCATCCCTCAAGCGCAGGTGTGTTCACGCGCGCTTAGCGAAACAGGGAGGCACAGACGGCAGCGTTTGGAGGGGAGAGGCTGCTGCCGCAAGCGAGTGCGCTCCCACAACGCGCACGAGGTCGACGAGGGCCCCAAGAAAGGGAGGGCAACTGAGCAAACTGCAAACAGAAACACACATTCATTCGCGCACACACATACAAAAACACACGTGCACACATATATATACACACACAAAAACACACATGCATACATAGACACACGTTGTTCGCGCCGGAGCTGCCCGCGAGAGGTTCAAATTGTACCCTGTAGAGGGCTCAGGTGTATAGGGAGGGGGTCGCAGGTGTACGGTCATGGACGAGAGTATGCAAATCCCTCGCGCATCTGCACATATGCATAGGTATGTATACGCAGCAGCCTTTCGGTACCTATCCCTAGCACATTAGAACGCTACTTGGCAGGAACTGCAACAGGAGACAAAGTTTCCTTTCATGGGAAACCCCATGGGGGCTCCGGCGCCTGCCTCCACTACGTACTCTTGCGACGAGCGAGTGTTACCATAGAACGCGTGAGGCTGCTTCGCTCAAGTTGCAGTCGCGTGTGGGCCTCTTCATGAGGCTATGCCGCGGCCGCTAAAATTGCACGACTCTGAGCCTCAGAGCATGCGAGAATACTTCGGGAGGGCACGCGCGGCGTTGCCTGGACTGGAGGGCAGCCAATGACAAGCACGGCCCTGCTAAAGGTATTCGCTTCGAAGGGGGAAACAAGGAGGAGGAGGTGGGTAGCGTAGTTCAAGGAGCAGGTTTGCCACACCGCTCGGCTCCGTAGGAACTTCCCTCCGCTAATAGGATGCCGACTCACCCCAAAGAACTCAATATAAAAGAGATTAAAGTGATTATGAAGGGAAGCTTCGTTTCTTTTATTCCATATTGCAGTTACGGCCAGCCAGTCGGATGCTCAGAAAGGCTTTCTCGCGTGCGAATTTTTTGCTGGCTCACTCAAGACTGATCGGACATGCATGTAAGTTGGCGCTGCGGTCTTAAAAGTAAATGTTACCTTCCAACAAATCTGCCGCCATAGAGATCCCCAAACTGGATGCTTTGTTAGAATACGTGTAGCCGAAAATATACCATCTTAGTCTCGCCTCTTACCACTCAGCCAGGGCATAGCACGAGGGCCTCCCGGTCCCCGAGGCCGCACGTTTACGCCAAAGTGGTTCTATTAGGGGTTGAGCGCGATTGTATTCATAAAATGAACTGGCAGCGTTTCATATTGCACGTTAAAGGCATTTTTGTGCGGCTTGACCAGTTTCCACCCAGCGCCTGTGTGTGATGTTGTCGACAGGAGTCTTAGGGTGCAAAATTAAGCGGCCACACATACACAGAAAAAATGCAACCGGTGTTTCTATGGATGCTTAGAGCCAATCAGAGAACCGTCTGTATGTCAGCTCGAAGACAACAAAGCGTCCATAGCATATGGTGCTGAAGCCCCCACACGTGATGCGTACAAATACATATTTATCGCAACCCTTTTCTCATTCAAAGCACGAACGCCAACCCTACAACACCCCCTCGTTCTCATAAAGTAGCCTGTTTAAAAACCAAGTGACAACCTGACATGCAAGCCATGACGCGTGGCTGCCCTGGGGCGCGCAGGGGAACAGCTACGGCAGAAAGCATCTCAATGTATGTTCCATCAGTGGTTTTGCACAGTCTGTATCTCTGGGCCTCATGAATTTATGTAAGCTTTGGGTCCTGGCTCCCAGACTGTACCTGAGCTATACGTACCGTAGCGTACCGTAGCTGTAGCGAGGCAAGCTGCACTTTCTACCTATCAACGCAGGGTCGACTCAGAACTGACGCACTGGCCTAAGCAACCCTATACGTCGCTTGTTTTCGAGTAGGACTAGCTCAGAACTGAACGTGAACGCCTTGAGCTGTATGTGCAGCCGGTCGAGAATAGATGGTCGGAGTCCTCAAAACATGCAGAACCGCGCATGGCAGCTACATCTCTCGCTCCCCATGCAGGAAACCTATGGGGTAAGGAATACAAGATGGGGGGCAGCGAGCCTTCCTCTAGGCCTCTCCATAGCTTTCTATTACGCTGTCGTGTTGTGCCTGGGGCTACACGGTCCGCCCTACGGAGATCCTAGAAGAAATATCGCTACAATGCATGCGCTTACTTCGTTCGCGTATTTCACGTCTTTCTCTTTGGCCTTAAGAACAGCGTTTACCACCACCTCCGCGCGTGTTGACTGGACCTGTAAAGGGCCTGCCAGCACATGGAGCCACTGTCTGCAGCCGTTCTCACGAGTGTCTCCCGTGCATAGAAAACCAGTCCAGCTCATCGGGGGGGCGCCCTCTCTCCTCAGATTGTCTACCTCGTCGCGATAATAAAGACCCATACGCGCCTCTAAGAAAACGTGTTCAATATCATACTCCATGCGGCCAGCAGCAAGAATGGAGGCCCGGCGATAGATATATATATATATATATAGTCTACGGGGAGCTCTCGTCTCCGTTTATTAGAGTCAGAGGGCGTGCTGCACGAGTCCGCAGCAGTCAGTGCATCTGAAGGGAGCCAAATGAGCCTCTGCACAACCGAGCTGAATCTCTGTCGCGTTGCCGGGAAACCCAGCTAGGAGAAGGCCGCAAATGGAGGGCGGCCCGCTTATATGCGTTCCTATGCCTTGCCCTTTCTGCGGCCATCCTCCACAGTCACGGCGATGAGGAGAGACACACACACACACAAACACACGCACTGAGCTTCAGCACCGGAGAGCATGCACTCCACATAAACCACCATGGGAAAAGTCCTCTTGCTTGTCGTGCGCCGCTCCCCGGGTTCTCAGCCGCTACCGCCGTCCTTGCTGCTGCCACTGCAGACTGCTGTGATCATAGCATCGGTAGCGAACTCCGCGTGAATTTGACGGCCGCCGAAGAAGCGTCCGTTAAGGGCCTGTTGCGCAGCCAAGGCGACAGAGGGCGCAGTGAATTTGATGAAGACACGCCCCTCCTCATCCTTCTCGCTCAAGGAGACTTGCACCACAGTCCCATGCTTCCCGCATTCCTCCTTGACATCATCTCTGATATCGTCAAAGTAGTACTCGTCTTCTGCAGCACTTGGGCTAAACATCCCACGGAGCATAAGATTGGATGTTATAACGCCTGGAGCCAAACCGCCAACGCGGGGGCCGCTGGAGCTCCTCAAGAATTGCTGCTGCGAAGAAACGGACATCAACAAACAGTCTCGCAGACACAGAGGTGACGGAACATTCAAATGCGTCGCCATGGTGTGCATGTATATATATATATATATATATGTACGTCGAACAAGGGCATACACACACATATATGTATGCACACATACGCATGTTAGGAGTGCAGCACGCGGAAGAGGGCCCTGCGCCCTTAAGCGCTCAACCAAAAAGCCTTTCGAAGGGCATAGATCCAGCATGCTGAGAGAGAGGGCTTTATTCAAAAGCTTTGAATGGTGCGGTCCTCCGCCATTGTGCATGCAAGACACGCCCTCTATTGCGAGTTGCCATCGCACGTCCTTACCGCCTTGCATACATGCATGTATACATGAATGTACATATACGTATATGTATATGCAAAGATGTGGAAATATCCAAGGCAACTCACCTTGTCAGTAGATGGTGACGCCTGCTGCTGCTGTGGGGGAACATCGCCAGCCATGGAGGCCGTTGGGGGTGCCCCCGTGCCTCCCGGGTTCCCCAGCGCCGCAGCAGATCTGTCCATGAGTTTTTGCATGAGAGCCTGTTTTCGTGAGGGGTCATGGATGTATCCGATATCGTCGTCATCGATACCACCGTCGTCATCGCCTTCCTGTTGCTGCGGGTTGCTCTCCTGCAGTTGCGGCTGCTGCTGCCTCATTAAGCTCGCCGCCTTCTCTGCCAACTGCTTCGCCAGCTGTGCCTCGTACGAGACTTGCGTGGCAGCCACGACGTGCGCAGGGACCCCGGGGCCCCCCCCCCCGGCCCCGGGGGCCCCTCCTGCTCCCGCCGTTACAGCTCCCGGAGGGGTGGCTGGAGCTCCCTCGGGGAGCGATCCCGAAAGCCTCACTCCGTCGGCCGCATACCCCACCCGCAGCTCCTGTCCAGCGAGCTTAAACTGATGCATTTGCTGCATCGCGTCGTGGGCATCGCCTGTGGCGGCAAACATGACGAAGGCGAAGCCGACGGGGTCTCCCGTGTTGGGATCCGTAGGGATGGTAATCTCCTGAATAGATCCGAAGGGCGAGAAGAGCGCATGCAGATCGTCTCGCGTCAGCGTCGAGAGGGCACCTACAAGGCCCCCCACATACACCCGCATGGGTATCTGTAGCGACGCGGCGTCTGGAGCAGGAGCTGTAGGACACTTCGCTGCACGAGCAGCCCTATTTTTCTCCGCCATGGAAGCCTGAACCCGCAAAGGCTGGCCTTTGAAAGAAATCCCGTTAAGTGCCATCGCCTTGATGACCGCCTCCTGCGTGTAGAACTCGACGTAAGCCACGCCCTTCGAGACGCCGGAGCGTTGGTCTCTTATCTGTTGGATATCCCGAATTTTGCCTGCATTCGCCGAGAAGAATTCGTAGATGTGGCGTTCGTCAGCCTTGAGCGACAAGTTCAAAACAAGCACGGTGAGGTCGTCGCGACGGGCCTCTTCCACTTCCTTACGCCGCAGTTCCTCCTCTCGCTGCCGGCGAAGCAGCTCCTCACGGGCGCTCAAGCGCGTGGCTACTGGAGCGCCTTCGCCTGGAGGGCCCCCCTGCTGGCCCCCCCCAACCCCACCACCACCTCCCCCTACCTGGGCCCCCCCGGCAGCGCCACCACGCCCTCCTACGGGAGAAGGAGAACGGGGTTCGCCTCGACGAATTCTGTCGCGACTGCGGCTGCGACGATTACCAGGAGGCCACCAGTCTCTGTCTCTCCGCCTGAAGTCTCCTCCCCCCCGGTGCCTCCCGTAGTCATCGCCGAAGCCACGACGAAACGAGCCATGCCCGCGAGCGCGCATATCCCGCCCCGGGGGGCCCCTTCCCCAGGGCCCCTCACGCCAGCCTCCGTTGCGGCGGGGGGAAGGCGAACGACGACTCTCACGATACACCTCAGGACTGCCGCCGCCACCACTGCGGCCTCCCATCCGCTTTCTGTGATCTAGACTTGGAGCTCGTCCGCCTCCCCCTTTACGCCCCTCTGACCCCTCACGACGGGGGAAGCCAGGACTGCCTCCTTGATCCTTGCGGCCATCTGGACTCTCGTCACGCACGCCTCCTTTCCGCGATCCTCCTTCATGGCTGCCATCGCGTCTACGCCTGACCTCCTCGAGACTCCTCTCCCTCCTCCCAGCGCGCCCACTGCGCCTCTCCGAGGGCTCCTCCGAATCTGCTGCACGCCGGAACACCCCCCCGTCGTTCGATCTAGCGGCCCCATTGCTGACGGGAGATCCCTCGCCGCCAGCCGGGGAGCCGTCGCTGTTGGGATCCCCCTTCTCCATCAGCTGCTCTACGGCCTCAAAATCAAGGTCTGCCATCCTCGGCAAGGCCAAAGCCGGCTTGCAGAACCTCGTCGACCAACGAGGAAGTGCCTTGAGGACAGACCTAACGTGCCAGGCCCCCCAACCGAGAGGGCGTCAAACTCCTTACGCGCGTCGTGCACCTGTCTTGGGGGCGGTATCCGGAGAGCAAGGGAGAGAAGGAAGGCCCAATGCAACAGTTTCGCCCCCCAAGAACCGTCAAAGGCTGCCAGAAAGCCCAGCCGCAGGTCTAATAGCAGCAGAGACACCGCAAGAAAACGCAACGCGATGGGGTAGCAGTCTTCTAACACGGACGAACCTACCAACGGGTAGCTCCTGGGGCCCCAGTGGCCACCACTACCGCCGTAGGACTTTGCGAACGCCTAGAGCAACTCCAGAGTTTCTATAGGGACCTCCAGAAGTAATTGGAGAAGTGCGATCGAACATCTAGGTGGCGCCAAGGGCCTAAGGCGCGCAACAGCAACCGACTCAGGGTGGGGGTCGCCAGGGTGCAAGGGCCCCTCCCGGCCTTAGCGCCTCCGTTATTCGGCTACGAGGACCCCACGATATTATTAGCAAAGTCTGTGCCAAAAGGAAGCGCATTCGGAAAGAAATGGGCCGCTGCTCGGTGCGCCTTCCCTCTAGTGCTACACGCCGCCCAGCCAATTGCGGGGCTGACGGCGTTGGGGCTGACAATGGGAAGGTGTTTTCCTTGGCTTTTTCACAGCCAGTATTCCAGCCCCTATTTCATTCCAAAAGGAAGACCCGTAGACACGTCTCTTAGCCCCGTGTTTTTGCTCCTCCTGGCGTTCTAGTGCAGCTTCGCCGCGAACCCTCCTCAGGTGGTGCATGGTAGTACGAGAGCGTCCGCTTACTCACAAAACCTGTCTTCCTCACATTGCCCACGGCGACACACTCTGTTTCATTGGCTTCTGTGGGCGCAGTGGTAGTTTTTCTGCTGCCGACCACTGGTAATGGCAAAATGGCTCCTCTAACGGAAAAAACCCCAACGGCGGAGGCAACACGCACTGGGATAAAGATCTAGACATGTACATTGTGCCCGAGTTACGTAGTTGGTAGAATCATGGAGCCTTTCTACTCTACTCACGTTCTGCACAGAGATGGTGCCTTCGCCAGCGACAACAGCACCTCCGAAGCGGGGGCGGGGTGAATGAACGCGTGGCGGGTCCTTTCTATTATTCTTGTTAGATTTGGCTAAAAATCGGCTAAAATTTGACCGTTATTTGTTGCTGATTAGGGGATTCTCAATCCTACAGAAGAAATGTTGTCTACTTCTGCGCAAAGTTGCTCTGTCTAACGGTCAAAGCAACACTTTCACAATTCCTGCATCATTAGGCATGTTCAACTAGGAACTCCTAAAGAATTATCTACTTGGCCTCTTTGTAAGTCCTACCTATAGGGCTTCGTTAGACTAAAACAACCTGATACAACGTTGCGTGCGTGTGTGCTACATGCTATTTACACTAGCTGCGAATGCTCAGACCACTTGCAGTATGCAGGAACGCGCAGTCTAGCTGTCCCTCTCCTCTCATGCCGGTAATTCCGAGGGGCGTTTACAGGGGAATGAGAAAGCACTTTTCAGGAGGATAACACACTTGTGTAGTTTGCGTAGTGTCCGTACTTAACGGTCTCTCGGTGGAGACCAGGGCTTCGCAGTTTGTAGCACCACATGGCTTGATGCAGCCTTTACGCTAATGCACTGGCTGTGGGTGTAGTTGGATATTAGGCTTTCTAACGAGTCCCTCCGTTTTCGATAAGGCTATTTGGTTATCCAATATTGTGAAGCCTTCTCAACTGACAGTCACTTTTTTAGCGTAGCCCGGGGCTACTTCCAAGATATCAGGACGGAAGGTGGAGTGTGTACGTTAACTTTAAGCCCCTTAACAAGACCAACATGAAGCAGTGATTCCTGATGGCTCATATCAATAAATTAATTGACAGCCTATATACTAATTGACAGTCTACTTTACCTTTGAGAGTACATTCGTTATCTGAAAGAGCCCCACTCACCTAATAATAGGTACAAGCCGGCGTTCCACATCTGCACTTGCAAACTCGAGTATATCCATATCCCGTTTGAAACTCGTCAATTGCCCCAGCTTAACTGCTGCTTCAGATGAATTGTTGATCATGTTAAGAGGGGCTAAATAGTTGCCTACAGAGACAACGTCCTCAACTTCAACCGAGACATTCAAGAGCAGCCACTGTAGCTAGGGCGCGAGCTTCAGCTGTCGCGGGACAAGCAGCGGTATGTTAAGAAACGCAGGCGTGTTTTCCATGACAGCAATTCGTTTTGCGACGATCTTGTTTCGGCTGCAAAAATTTGGCTATATCTGGCAAATTTTCGAGACGATTTGGCAGAGACCACGACCTAAGGCACACTATAGAAGGATTGTTTGAGCTTTCATCTTATTACAGAGACTCCATTCCAGGATTCACTTGGGTTGCAGCTCCCTCAAAGAATCTAGCTTGAGAACACACATTCTAGCGCATGTAACCGATGGGGCTGATGCCGCGACAAGGACATTTAGGGACCATCTCACAAAGCCCCCGATACTGCCTGATTTTGAGCGTCAGTATTCCGTGACAACCGATGCTACTGACGAACCGATGGGTGCTATTCTATGTCAACAGACTCCGAAGTCTCCAAGATACCAATTTATCGCTTTCTGTTATCATCATTTCACCGAAACCAAGGAGCAGTGTTGCGTGCAGGAAACCGAATTCGATATGATGTGACGGGAGGTGGAAATGCTCGCAAAATTTTTATGGGCATCCGGATACTCTTCATACCAAGCTCCAGACTTTATTGCATTTCATGCTGAGTTTTCAGAATTTTATGAGACGAGTTGTGTCTGTCTGCCTGGGTGTTTCGTGTAGTACGACTTGAGAGTGTAATATATTAAGTGCATCACCACCGTTCTCGCCGAGGCGCTTTCGCCACGCCTCAGCATTTCAGTATTGTGCAGCCCAACCACTCTTCCCTATGATCATTAAAGCTTTTTATCAAGCTCGCATGAGCCTTATGGTCTGGATACCCATGCATCCGCCAGTATTGCTACAGTTTCGGAGTGGCAAATGGATGAAGCACTACCACTGTGAGGATGACCTGCTTTTGACTCAAACAAAGGGGGAACCCTGCCGCTTGCATTCTTCGATTTCCCTTAGCAATGTTCTTTGCTCGAGAGAATGATAAGGCTCTATTGAACCATGGAGGTACTCGCAGGTGGAGCCACGGTCTCTCTGATGGCGTAAGATATTCGCCACGATGGACAAATTTGCATTGTACCCGGATCTTCGGCAGCTGAAATCACCTAATTCTTCCAAAGCCGCCCGTTTGCAAAGCTGTTCGGTATTTAAAGGGATATATACTGAGCTTAGTCTGGGTTTTATTTTTGGACTGTGGGAGAAGGCTGGCGCTTCTACCTTCGGCATAGTTTATAAACTCAACAAATATGCGGATTCTATCCCTTGCTCCAACGGAGTAACAGCTCAGCCTACCGCTCAGCTGCTCTTGATCATGTCTGAAAGGCTTCGCACATTACCCCAAAGCTTTACTACAGATAGGCATGCGAAGCTCGTTAGTGCCCGATAATAATAGACGAAGCGGAGTGTGGCCAGGTGGCTACGAACATTTGCCATCCTATCAAAAATCAGCCCTATTTCTTACTCGAGCAATTTTCGTTGCAGCTAGAAATGCCATACAACTATCGAATTTGAATTTCTGATGCAATAGCAACAGATCAGAAATTATTTGCAGATTTTGCCGCACAATCGAGTGACCCAGGTGAGGGCGGAGGATCCAAAAGGAGCGGGAGAAGTGTTGCATTCTAGGACTATTATGCGCCGAGGATAGTGTAGAAGGCGTTCGTGAAGAAGTGGGGTGGAGAACGCTAGCTTGATTGGTTGATGAGGGAGTGATTGTGGGTTTTGTTGCTGGCGGGAGAGTTTTGCTGTTCTGATTGGTTAAATAACGGTGGTTGACACGGATGCTAGTCTTCGCTTCCGTTGCTGACTGTCCTTTCCCAGCGAATGCTCTGCCTGCAGTATCTGCCTTGTTCTATAAATATTGGTTGAAAGGCTTCCGATGGCTATTGTCTAGGTATTCTCTAATCTCA